AGGGTTTAGGGAGAGGGTTTGAGGTTCAGGCGCCGGCGTTCAGAACTGGGCCCTGGGCTCTGAACCCTGAGCCCCAAACAGTAGACCCTGCATCTTAAGTTTAGGGTTTAGAGTTAAGGGTGGTTTAAAGTTAAGGGTTTAGGGTTTAGGGTTTAGGGTTTAGGGTTTAGGGTTGAACTCTGAGCCCCAAACCCTAGACCCTACATCTTAAGCCCTAAAGCCCGAAGCCGCGAACCTGAAACCCTAAACCCTGAAGCCCAACCCCTAAACCTTAAACCGAAACCCTAAACCCTGTCTAAGGTCCAGGTTTTAGGGCAAAGCGCTGCGAGAGATTTTTGTCTCTAGGGTTTGGGGCTTAGGGTTTAGGGTTTAAGGCTTAGGACTTAAGGTTAAAAGCGTTTTGCTTGAAGGAGTTGTAGGTTTAGGGCTTAGGGCTTTGGGGGCTGAAAGCTTCCAGCTGCTTTTTTGGATAGGGGATTCAGTACTGTCCTAAGAGGAATGCAAATAGTTTCAAACAACCCCAAAAATAGAATAATGCTAATAATTGTTAATAACAATGATAAAAAAAATTCAAAACCCTAAGGAAAAGTACTGCTAGACGGAGACAGTTTGTTCCTGTCTTGCTAACCTGCAGCTGCATCTTCCATGACCTCGAACTCAAGAAAGTTCTCTTGTCGGAGGCCTTGAAGCCATGTTAACCAATCCGGTTAAACCAACAGCAGCTTCGGTTTCCCTTTCGTCATCCAGGCTTTCTGGAAGGGTCCAGCATGCTCTGCCGGAACCACTTTTCCAAAAAAGCCACGACAGTGCTGCGAGACATCTAGTCCATCGTATCCAGGCCCTCAGCCTTGTGTTCGTCGTCCTTCTGTCCATGTGTGCTTGTAGCGGCATTTCTTGGGACATGGGGAGTGGCATTTCTTGGGACATGGGGACAACAACCACTTCACACCCAGTCCCGGTCTACTGTGCTGCTGTGCAAAAGCCAGAGGAGCTTCAACACAAAAAACCTCAACCCAAAACTTCAGCTGGACTATACCTCCAATTACTGTACTGAACTTGGGACCCTAGCAAAAAATACAATTTTAGCTGCTTCTTAAGTAGGGTTGTGACAACCAAAGGTTAAGAAATGGTTCCAAGTGCCCAACCCTAAACCCCTAAACCCTAAACCCATTGTTTAGGGTTCAGGGTTTAGGGTTTAGGGCTTAGGGGTTTAGGGTTTAGGGTTTAAGGTTTCTACCTTACAACCTCACTGAGTCCCATCACCCTCCTTATAGAACCTACTCTGCAAGATGCAAGGTATAGGCCCAAAGGCCTGAGGACATGGATTTAGGGTTTAGGGTTTAGGGTTTAGGGTTTAGGGTTTAGGGTTTAGGGTTTAGGGTTTAGGGTTTAGGGTTTAGGGTACCTTATTCTGGGGTCCTTATAATAAGGATCCTACTATTTAGGGTTTAGGGTTTGGGGTTTAGGGTTTATGTCCGCCTACCTTATAATAAGGTTTAGGGTTTATGTCCGCCTACCTTATAATAAGGATCCTACTATTTAGGGTACTATATTAGGGTCCCCTATTTTCGGAAGCCCCCAACATGGGACGGCTTTCATTCTCCTCAACCAAAGCGCTGGTCAGCTCAGCCAGCACCGGGGAGCGCTGCACGGTTTAGGGGTTTAGGGTTTAGCGTTTAGGGTTTAGGGTTTAGGGAGGCAGTCGTCCAGCAACTCTTGCCATGAACCGCCCTTGAGGAACAGCGTGAAGGAAGCCACGAGCCCGTTCTGCTCTTTGCTCCTGAGGATGGCACTGACAGCACTCATGTCAGTGTTCAGGTGCCCTGGCATGGGGTTCAAGAGAACGATCATTGCACTGAACACCTCTTTCAGCGACCTTGCAGCGGCTGCGGCAACCTCGATGAGTTCCATCTCGTCGACCGCATCGGCCTCGTACAACACCAAGAAACGCTCGCAAAGATCGTGGAGGATTTGCTTGCGGTCGTCGACGACTGAACCCTAAAACCCAAACCTCAAAAGACCCTAAACCCTAAACCCTAAACCTTGGCTATTGTAGGGTCTTCGGGTTTAGGGTTTAGCGCTGAGGGCTTAGATTCTCGAGTTTAGGCTGTAGGGTCCCGGGTTTACGGCCTGGGCCTTGGGTCTACAACATTAACCCTCCTAAACCCTGAGCCCTAAACCCCTAAACCCCTAAACCCCTGAACCCCTAAACCCTAAAACCTATAAACCCTAAACGGCGTAGGGCCTAGGGCCTAGACCGTAACCCGAAAGCTGGAGTCACAGAGACCCGGGCTGCACTATAGAGGCTGCCATAGCCCCGCCCTTCGATCACAGGGGAGATATTCTGCGACGAGTCCTGGAGAGGGCTTGCTCTTGCTGAGGGAGTAGGGAGTGTAGGAAGCTTTCGGATTAGGGGTTTAGGGTTTAGGGCTTTGGGCTTTAGGGTTTTAGGGTTTAGGGTTTAGGGCTGAGGGTTTAGGGCTTAGGTTTAGGGTTTAGGTTTCTTGTTGGCGGCTCGTTTGGGGGTTCAGGTCTTGCGGAGCAGTCTTGCCGACGGCTACTTCCAGGGCCGCGACTTTATGTTCATGTGGGGGTTTCCGAAAATAGGGGACCCTAATATAGTACCCTAAATAGTAGGATCCTTATTATAAGGACCCCCAAAATAAGGTACCCTAATTTTCGGAAAGTCCCATGTAAGCTTGCAGGTGCATACTGAGGGTTCAGGGCTCAGAGTTGTACAGCCTCTTGGTCGGGCTCTGCTGTTGTTGAGGGCTCAGGATGTTGAATTCAGGGTTTGGGGCTTCGGAGGCGGATGGGGTTCATTGATTGTTTGGGGGCTTGTGCTTCGGGATCGGATTTAGGGGATTACATATGGGCCTAAGTCCTGGGGTTCCCTTACCTCCTTCGCGCTTTTGTTCAAGACAAGTCGAGCGCAGTCTGAGCTCCGATTCTCTTGGCAGATTGGGGCAGGGCCCTGTTCCTGCTTGAGTTTAGGGTTTAGGGTTTAGGGTTTAGGGCCCGGTTCCTGCTTGAGTTTCGAGGCCCTGAAGAACCCCGAAATACGAGGCCCTAAACCCCAAACCCTAAACCAAAAACAGCCTAAACCCCGGTCCCTAAGCCATAAACCCTATCACTAACCCCTGCCTTTTGCTCTCAGAACCACAAAACCACACGAAATACCACACCGCAGCAATATATATAGAGGCCCTACTACTTGGAACTGGGTTGCACGGGGTCTTGGGGGTAGATGATGCTCGAATTATATGAGGCGGATACGATTCATGCAGGGGCCTTAATAACTAGAATAGGGCTTTGGGGTATATATCATACTAAAACTACAACTATAGTTATAACTATCACTATAATTAATGAAGACCCCCCCAAAAAATAGTATAGGTACTTGTTTAGGCTCCTATACTAATAAACCCTAAACCCTAAACCCTAAAAGCTAGACCCTAATACTAACCCGAATCCGGACACCTGAAGTTCCAAAAAGCCTGCACACCGCCCCCCCCCCCCCACCCCCGGTAGGTCCTCATTCCGCGTGAAGTAGAACTGCATGTCTGACCTTTTAGGGTTAGGCTTTAGGGTTGGGGCTATGTAGGGTTTAGGGTCTATAGGGTTTAGAGTTTAGGGTCTA